AGATAGATAGATAGATAGATAGATAGATAGATAGATAGATAGATAGATAGATAGATAGATAGATAGATAGATAGATAGATAGATAGCATCCTAAAGGAATGCTGAGGTCAGAGTTTTCAGGGTAAAGGTCAGTGGATTGTTTGTATCAGGACTTTACCACCTGTCTGTCAAGCCATTATATGTTACATACCCCCCCCCCCCCCCCCCCCCCCCCCCTCCCCACCCCCTCACACACACACACCAAATGTTACTTCCTTTAACTTGCCATCATCAAAATACAAAGGAAAGTTAATCTTTTTTAGAAGCATGTGCCAGTGATCTGTATCTGATTCAAGTGTGTACAGGGGAAATGGAGTGGGTTCCTCCGGTGTTTCCCCCGGGAATGTCGAGGACAGGATGCTGAAGCCTAGAGGAAACCCTGACGGCAGACTCTCAGCACACTCAAAGCAGCTCAGCATCAGGAACCTTAAATTATAGTGCACATCTGACTGTGAGATGAGCCTCGGACACCCTTTACACATCTATAACAACTTGCATTGACTCTCTATTTGGCAACAGGTAAATTCTACAGCACTAAACAACCTGATTTACTTCATCTTTCTCTGTTTGCATCCTGTTGTTTATGAATATCGTCCCTCTTTCTCCTGTATCCAACAGAGCAGAAGCTCACGTGAGGGTTGCAGCACCCCTCACACAGAGTGAATGTTAGTGAGGAAGGACAATCATACACAGTCAAAGAGACACAACATGATGGAGCTGAAAATCCAGCTGATACCCACAGGAGAAATCATACTGTCTCCAGGGAATAATGGAGAGTTTTACTGCCAAAGCTGCACTAAGGTAAGTCACTTTTGATAACTCATTTGCATAACTAAATAAACACAACTGCACCCAACAATTTCTTAACAAATTACTTATTGTGATAGCTGTCAGGATATTTAAGGCTCAACAAAGCATGCCATAGATTTACATGTCCTGAAACCGAAGCTCATTAGAATTTTCCATGCTGTAGATTGTCAGCATATGCCTGTTTATAATAAAAGCAACCATTGCAAGTGATAGTATAATGAATATGTGTGGTGTTGATTATGGTTTAGATTATGATTAACCTTTTGAATGAATATCAAACTACAGTTTAGTTTTTTACAATACTCGATACACTGATAGCCAACTCAGAACTGTATTAGAAATCACAGAAAGCAGTAGCAGTACATAAATGGCTTTTGATATGGAATATATAGTCAATATTTTGTATCTGTGAGAGGCTTTTCCTTCGACATTATAATTATTTTGAGGAATGGGTCTGGATTGCTCCATTTAATAATAATACAGTCCAAGGAATGTGGATGTATGCTAAAATCTGCAATGTGTGCAAGGAAAATTACCATTAACTCTGACAGACGTTTGAATGTTTCTTATGAATGGCATAAATGTTACTAGTCTGGTTGGCAAAGAGGAAAAATAGCTCACACCCTTTAATTCTAATATGCACTCTTTTTTCTTCTTATTTTGTTGGAAAAACGTTCTCTGTGACTTGGTTTGTTCTGTTTGAAGATCTTTCTTCATGGTTCATTTAGTCTAGTGTAATGCTGGAATCTAGCTGATAAGAATCTGTTTTGCGCATATTTTGTTAAGCAAAAACTTTTCTAGTTTGGGAACCACTCGAATTTAGTGTCCATTTATTCGTGGTTGGAATGGAATGCTATGAGGAAATGACAGAACATTTTGGAACAGCATACTTTTCCTGACTATCTGGCCAGGTCAAGTTACCCTTGCTGGGTGTGTTTGAGTTTGAGTGACTTTGAGATGGAAAAAGACAGGGAGGTACATTAATAAGAAAGTTTTGGGATGACAAACTAAAAACGCTGTACTATTATTAAATAACTGATCAAGGCTGGAACAATAACTATAATGCCTATTTCCACCTGACCGGTGACAGGAGACATGGAAACACCCTTTAGTACAGCCTGTCCGTCCTACATTGCCTTGTCAACAGGATACAATCTTTCCTCTCCGTTCAGCTGTGCTTAATGTGGTTGATGTTGTTTTGGGGTTTGGTGGTCTGAACGTTGAAGAGCACAAGGGCAGAATCGATCACTCCTCCCTCTGGCTACTGCATGACACTGCACTTCACATGGATTATCAAGCGTGAGGTCACCTTGACATGTGGGGAATTTTGTTCCAGCAGTGTTTATTGATACAGCAAAATGTTTAGACACAGCTTTCCATTCACAGGGCATGCGTTATCCAGTGTGTGTGGACTGAAAAAGAGATGCTCAGAATGAATGGCTGTGATTCTGTGAGTCACGTTGGCTACTTAATAACAATCAGCTTTGTTCCAGTCAAATAAAATCTGAAATAATGGTTGATTTGACCATAATAATGTCAGCGGTAAATCTTTGTATTAGATAAAAAATATTTGTTAGTACATTTAAAGTTTACTGATTCATTTGCTTGTCATTGTACCACATTAGGAGCCTTCAACAGCGGGTCTTCAGCTCCTGGGGTCAGCATCAGTACTGCAGGGAGTTTGCAAATTATTACTAAAGCTCAAATTAATTTTTGTAACAAATAAATAAATAAATAAAGTTACATTTTGGTTAAATATTTTATTGCCCTCATTAAAATGCATTAAATAAAATTAAAATGTTTAAGAAGCCTATATCATTCCGCATATTAATAATGATTATTACAATGGCTTAGCAATCTTGATAAAATGCAGTAAAACATTAATGTAAGTGCAATCATATGTTATGTTATTATAGGGATCATAACACCTAGTCCTATCATGCAAACTGTTATTATAGGCCTGATTTATAGGCCATACAGTATGTAAAACCTGCTTCTTAATCCAGATTATTATAGTGTAAGGTCCACGCACTTGGCCCAAGGAAGGTATCCAGTGGTGGATGAAGGTCACTTGCGTGTTCGGTCTTTTCAGCGTGCAAAGTTATTCAATTTAGGTTTATCTCAAATCTGACGCCACTTTAGTATCTAATCTGGCTCCATTTTAGTATGACCTCGAATTTTGGTTGAAAGGCAAATTGGTTGTTTGTCGGTCTCTAATTATTCTGACATTTGATTATTCTAGTTAACTCTTTACTTTGTATTTTCTCGTTCATTAGGAATCTATTGTTATTTAGGATGCCCCACGCTGGGCTCCACGATCACAAAACTCGCCAGTCTGAACCTTATTCAGAGGTTTGTGGCTAATACTATTTAATATACCTTAAATAGTAGGTCTGTTTAGCCCCCTACAGTTACCCATGTAATACTCATTAATTAAAACATTAATCAGCGGTTCTTCTAGACCCCGATAGTTAATATAGCTACGTACAACTTAATTAACACTCAAAGCATTAATCAGCATTTTTTCTAGAACCCCTTGTCTAGACCCCGATAGCTAATATAACTTCGTACAACTTAATTAACTCTGAAATCATATACATGGTTAACGTAACTGAGTACAACTTAAACTAAGGTCCAGCGGTTAGTCAGAAATCTATAATCTCACCTGATGTGCCCCATGCTTCATCTAAACCTGAGATCTAGTTTGCACGTAACCCTGGTCGCAGATTTGCGGATACGCATTCACTTAATCTACTTGAGGAAATAATTTCAGAGTAAGTCAGAATAGATCAAATGTAACAATTTAATATCAGTCAGGTAAATATGTATTATGCCAATTATCTACATAGCCAATTCAAAGATATCAAATCAATACGATACATCAAATTGTCATAGACAAATCTAAGAGTAAGATGTATACCTGACCTTTCAGAAAAATACATAGTGTGAAGTGTGTGGACACGCTTCATACTACGGGCTCTCTGACTACAGAATCGTGCCGACCCTTTTGCTACAATCCTTTAAATACAAAACCAAGATAAAACATCCCCCAAATGGAGGCATGTCCAAACAATTGGAATTTACATTAACCCAGGTCCCAGGTTTACATCAATGGTCGATTGGGGTGATGTCAATCGTCTGGGAGCCCCCTTTCTCAATACTCAGTTCCAATTCAGGTTCCAGGGTGAGATTGTGGTCCCTGAAGAAGGCTGGCATTTCTACCTCTGATTGATACTCTTCACTTGGAAGGTGGTACAGCGCCAGGTCACCGAGGTGGAGGATGGCACCTTTGGGCACTTGAATCCACATACTCTGGTTGGGCAGGCTGACACAGGTGGCAGTGTCGTGCTGGTCATAGGTCAGTGTGGCAGTACGGATGGGCGTGTTGATGAGCCACTGATTTCCCACAATCTCTGCTTGCGTTTCTGTGACTTGTGTGCGAGGCTTGGCCTCAGCAGGGCAGAGTGTCTCTCTTTGCATGGGTTGTAACCAGCAGATTCCTTCAGTGTTGTCTCGAAGGAAGGGCTTGCTGGGGCAGAGATAATGAATGTCTTTGGTCAGGGTACACATGCGCAGGTTTGGGGCCAGGTATAACTGTGGGTTACTGTCGTGGTAGGCTACCATATCTGGTGTGTGTATTCTGATGTGAGTGTTTCCCTGCCAAAATCCAACATTGACAATGTCTTTGAGTCTGTAAATGTTGTCGGACACTGCACGAACAAATGGCCATGCAGTTTCACTGTGTGAAGGAAGAAAGGCTTCAGTTCAGGAGAAAAAAGGCTTTTTCCCATATGCGTTGTAAGGTCCACGCACTTGGCCCAAGGAAGGTATCCAGTGGTGGATGAAGGTCACTTGCGTGTTCGGTCTTTTCAGCGTGCAAAGTTATTCAATTTAGGTTTATCTCAAATCTGACGCCACTTTAGTATCTAATCTGGCTCCATTTTAGTATGACCTCGAATTTTGGTTGAAAGGCAAATTGGTTGTTTGTCGGTCTCTAATTATTCTGACATTTGATTATTCTAGTTAACTCTTTACTTTGTATTTTCTCGTTCATTAGGAATCTATTGTTATTTAGGATGCCCCACGCTGGGCTCCACGATCACAAAACTCGCCAGTCTGTGCATGGGCTCCACGATCACAAAACTCGCCAGTCTGAACCTTATTCAGAGGTTTGTGGCTAATACTATTTAATATACCTTAAATAGTAGGTCTGTTTAGCCCCCTACAGTTACCCATGTAATACTCATTAATTAAAACATTAATCAGCGGTTCTTCTAGACCCCGATAGTTAATATAGCTACGTACAACTTAATTAACACTCAAAGCATTAATCAGCATTTTTTCTAGAACCCCTTGTCTAGACCCCGATAGCTAATATAACTTCGTCATAGACAAATCTAAGAGTAAGATGTATACCTGACCTTTCAGAAAAATACATAGTGTGAAGTGTGTGGACACGCTTCATACTACGGGCTCTCTGACTACAGAATCGTGCCGACCCTTTTGCTGCAATCCTTTAAATACAAAACCAAGATAAAACATCCCCCAAGTGGAGGCATGTACAAACAATTGGTATCTGGGTGGCTAGTTTACACCTCGATGGGAAACAGAAGGTAATTTGCATGGAATGACCCTCTACGGTAATCGAAGTATCTCTTAACTCTTAGGATCTGTATTATCTTTTTAGTCTACTTTTGTAAGATTAAGACCATTGTACCACACACCCTGACACTATTCAAGTGAAACCAAACATGACTGTAAATCTTATTTGCATTCATATAGAACATTATACTATTGACCATTCTGAGTGAATCCAGTGGAGGGAGCAGGTGAAAATGCACTGATGCACATGTGAGAGAGGCGTTTCTTGCACCACCCCTCTGTGGGGTGTCTTGAAGATGCCAGTGTATTGTCTGTCTCAGGAGATCAAACTATCTGAGTTTCTTTTATCCTTACAATAGTTAGCTAAAACTATAAAAAAATCATTACTT